GGGGTGGGGTGAGGTGAGGGGCGTGCCCGGCCAGGACCCGGATCGCCGCAGCGCCTGCCCTCCCCGCACGCCCCCTCTGGGACCTCTCCCCTCGCTCCGGGCGCGGCACGCTCGGAACTAGCCGCACATGCGCAGAGCAGTTCGCGCGGGCGAGCTGCCGTGCACATGCGCGGTAGGACGCCATACCTGGTCTCTCCCTGGAAGGTCAACCTGGGTCTGCAGCCCTGGGTAGGAGCATCCCCTGCTTTACAGGCTGGCATCTGGATCCCCCTGGCCTTTTGGAGGGGTGCGGTTGGCCTGCCCCACTTTTGCCTTTGCAGCAGCGCTCCTGGGCACAAGGGCCGTTCACACAACACGCGGGTGCTGGTTACGGGATGGACCCAAACTCTGGTTTTGCCCAACACGCTCAATTGTGGACATGCACAGTTCATGCAACGTATCCATCCGTGAGATTGCTGACTGAGGTTAATAGTAGCCAAGCTCAGGGTGTAATAATAAGAACAAAAGCTAATAATAACAACAACAACAAAAAAGAAATAGCCATTTTTTCTGAGTTCTTCGTGGCTTACGTGGCCCCTTCCATCTCTGTATCATTAATGACTCTTATTCTGTTCTTTCCAGTCTTTCCTTCCTAGCCCTCAGTTGCTTGGCATAACAAAAAATACATTTGGAAGGAAAGCTAATGTTTTATTTATATCTTTCTATCAAACGTGTAGAGCTGCCCACCAGCTCTTATGTGCCGCCCTTTCCGGTATCTCTTGGTGGTTAACAAGCTTGTGCACAGAACGTGTAAAAGATCCGGGTAACGAGGAAGGCCGTAAACTCTTGTGAGGGGGCCGACCTGCTCCAACGGCGTTTTATTCCACGGGATGGGCCAAGGAGGTGGTTGATGATAAACATGTTCGTGGTGGGGCCTGCACAGCTTACCGAATTTGATACTGATTTAGGACATTGATTGGGGGCTGCCCTGGATGAGGCTTTAAAGATTGGTACTAATTATTTTGTTGTAACTCTGATTACCACTGGAAACTGACTGCCATATTTTTTTGTGTGTGCTTTTATAGTTATTTTTACTTGTAATTCTTTTTTATGTATTTGTTCTTTTGAATTCTACGCCGCCCAGAGGCACTTTACATGAGATGGGTGGCTATATCAATATGATTATTATTAATAATATAATATTTTTGCATGGGTCACTTTTTGCCCTTCCATTATTGCCTCCTCTTGGGGGCAATAAATAGGATTTTCCAGACATTTTCCTAATACTGAATGGTTCATTAAAAGTGGAGTAGCATCTTTCTTGCTTTGTCTTCTGTATATTTGGGTTCACTCTTACATATGGAAGGGCTAGAAAGAGATGCACCCAGCATATGGACTTGTGCATGTACAGAACAGATGATCTCCAAAGGTTACAGATCACTTTTTTTATTCAGGGAAGCTTTGATTGGGATTTGCTAACCTGAGCAAAATTGCCTTGCCTTTCTGGAAAAGAAAACACAGTTAGAAGCTCTAGAGGAGCCTGTCTTTATTTTTAATTAATTATTTTATTACAGGCTCAGGAGTGGCTATCTTGTTGATTTAAAAGTCATCCAACACTGAACAATAAAATAAATTTGCTATTGTTGCTTATGATTATGATTGTTGTGGAATTATTATGAACGGAAACAAAAAGAAGAGTGACTCATGCATTACTTCCACTGAGTCATGACAGTTAAGAAATCATGTCAAGTCTTGTTTTTAATTTCTTCCAGTTCCTTCACAAAGTCATTGATGGGCTGTGTGGCCATGCCTTCCCTCGCTATCCAGACTACAGCACTATTTGGAATTTGACAGAATGGATGGAGGTTCTAGAACAAACTGCATCATACTTCAGGAGAACAGTTGGAAAAGATCTTTCTGATGAAGAGGTATAAATGCCTGTGGCTTTAAAAAGGGAGACTTAATTCTGCTGGTTAGGTCAAAATTATTTAATAGAAAAAACTTATTAGGAACGTTATAAGCAAAGCTTTGTATGTGGAGGAGAACTTAGTTGGCTGGAGTTCTTGTCTTTGGAGATGGGGGTTCAGTGCAAGACCTGCTTGGAGATCCACCTGCCTATGTTTAAAAGCGGCTGATTTTTTCCCCTTCATTCATTTCAGTAGATTATATGGGCTTCTGAGATGAGTTTGCTCTTCATTTGTTTTAAAGCGAAGGAATCTTTTAGCTAAGAATTCCCTTCTTGTCTAGTCTCTCTGGAAAAATAGCAGTTAAATGACCCCAGTGCTGTTCCTGGAGGAAAGCAGATAGATGCATAAGGAATAAACATATAAATATAAACCTTTCAAGGATTTAAGAACAAAAACAAGAAAGCAGCAAGTGGGTAGCGTTTGTCTTTCTATTGTTAAACCGTAAGCCCATATTATCTCACCATCGCTATAAATGACCTGGGAATGTTGCAGGGGCTTGATAATAATCGAGCTGAAGCAACTCTGGGCCCGTGCCTTTTGGTGGGGAGAGCGACGCACGTCGTTAATTTTCTACAGTTGAAATCCTTGGGGTGACGCTCCCCTCTTTTGGGACCCTCTGAGTGACAGCTTTGAAGAACGGGACTAAGCGAAAGCAAGAGCGCAGTGCGAGATCTCACGTAGAACACATGAATATTTGCAGCAGGTCAGCTGCCTGCTCCTTCGAGCGGTGAGAGCAGTTCCAGGCAAAGGTGGTGCGTGAGTGTTTCCCAACTGCACCAGAGTAGTTTAGTTTTATTGGATTACAGCGGTGCCCATTTGATCTTTGCTCTTTTACAGCTAATTACTGTCTCGTCTTTGTAGGCTGTTTCACCATTGACCGAGTTAAATTCCGACACTCAGAGAGCAGTGCTGACTTGCTTGAAAGGCAGGAGACCCGACATCAGGCATGCCCTGATTGAAAAAACAAATGCCATTTGCTCTACGCAGCTCCTGAATTTTGACTGGCAGCTAAAGGTGAGACTCGCATTTCCGTTCTCGTCTGTATAATGTTTAAGGAATCCAAGAGTCTGAGAGCAGAGAAGATGGGAGATCAGCTGAGGATTGTCATGTAAAAGCTTCCGAAGCAGAGTTCAGCAAAAGAAAGATCCTTTCTCCATCCCCAAATTATATAGCTGAAGTGCTTTTCGTTTAACTTGGGAACTTCTACGCCTCCTTCTAAGTCTGAAGGCCAAGCGTGGAAATCACGTTGCATGCCGGTCAGGATGTGGCATGAGACTGAACGTTTCACATTGGTGCAGTTCAGTAGGTGGCTGAATAACTCACTGTGCAGGGTCTGAATGCAATAGAAACCCTGCCAGATGGGATTTGGGGAAGGGAGTTCCTGAATTCCACAGCAGGGATTCAGGAAAAGTGACATTTATTATTACTGACCCATTTGCATCAGCTAACTGAAATTCTTTACACAATCTGGCTAAGGCTTACAATGTAGGTATCAGTGGAAGACAAATAGAAGAAAGCAGAGAGATATCAAAGAAGGTTGAATATTCAGAGGAGTAGACAAGCACTGGGCCTTCATAAAAATGAACAGTTGTTGGTAAATATTTTCCACTGCATATATATTAACTAGGTAAAATCAGATGTAAAAATATTAATTAGCAAGGTAAGTAACGGCTGCTCTGTATTGGGACAATAATCCTGCTTTTCAGACAAGCAACCCTTTCTGAAGTCTAAAGTTACCATATCTGGGCTGCAAAAATCCAGATGACCACTAAACGGTGACAGAAAGATACGTTATACTTTAATTCTCTGCAATCATCTGGTGGTGGTTTGGATTTTTGAAGCTCAGATACGCGTGGCTATTAAGTCTTATTGTGCTTGGCAGCTAGTGATGAAAAGCAATCACTGCTGTATCTTTCTGTGAATGTTTTTCAGCAAGTAATCAAATCAAATCTTTATTACGGTTATAGACCAGCAAACTTCAGCAAGTAAATATGCATTATCTGATAAAATGAATTAGTCACATTAATAGTTACAGTGAGTAGTGAAACTGGGCAATTTTATGTAGCTATTCAAAAAGAAAGTCCATCAAGTCTAATGGTTCTTACTTCTGTGTGGGTGATAAAGGATTTCTGCCTGAAAATTGCAATTGGCTTTACTCTGTTCTGACTACTGAATATACATTGCTTTTTGGACATAGTAAAGTGTTTTATATTTCAGTGTCTTCTTTTTGCCTTAAAAGTAAGATGTGTTAAGGTGCATATTTTTAACTTTTCCTTCAAAGAAATTTTAGATGCACAACCCGATGCGTCTTTATTCAGAAATAAAAATTATGAGCCGTGATACGTAATATCTCTGTAGGTGGATGTTAGGGTGGATTAGATGCTGTGTTGATTTCTTTTTCCCCTAATACGGTATTTAAGTTCGGATACATTGGACTATGGGGAAAAAAGGGGATATGTAGCATGTCCATTATTATAGCATACTAATTTACTTTTGTTTTCATAAATAATATCACAAAATGTACAAAGGTACCACATAGGCCATCCATGGGTACTTTTAATTTTACCTGGGTATCCAGAGTGCAAAAGGAAAGAGAAGATTTTGCATTTGAGGAACAGCTGCAACAGCTGTTTGTCACCATGAACCTGGTCTGGAAAGAAAAACGAGGAGAAGGAAGTAGTACAGTTTCTGGTGGCGGAGGTGCAGAAAAATGTGACCATAAAATTCGATGTGCTAAAAATAACAGTGATAATAACAAAAATAGCTTATAGCTTCTTGATGAAATTTGTAAATTGGAACACGTGAATATGTAATACTGTATGATGCAAATATATCCTCTGCTAGTAACAAAGTGAAATGAAATATCACCTATAAGAATCTGTTTCATCTGAAGGTACATAGGAGGAAAACCTTGTTCAACTGAAAACAATCCAGATGTGCTCACCTGGAATAATTCCCAACCTGCCGTTCCAACCCATCCGGAAAGGGGCATGTTGAGGAAAGACTGTACTGTACTGGGCAGTGCAGGAATGATCTATTTAATATATTGAGCATGGTTGTTATGCCTGTGAATGTCTTCCTTGGGAGGCCTTTTAAAAATTCTTTCAGCTAAAAGATAAATAGGAAATCTAGCATCATCTTGATTTTCAGGAACATCCCTATGCCCCATAAAGGTTCAGCTGGCATTCTTAGATTGCAGCTTTGTTTGAAATTGTACCCACCTTTTCAGGCAAACCCCCCAAAATAATAGGGAGTGTCACAGGTGGCTAGAAAGGATGGCCTTAACATTGAGCTTTCAGGAAAATGAATATTTTGTAACCGGCCATGTCCAAATGGACAGCCATTTTGTGAATGCACCTGCAACATGTTCCTAAGATTCCATATGTGAAATCTCCTCTGAGATTTGTCCTGTAAGTGTGATCTGGTGTAGGACCGTCTCACCCTCTAGCAGTGTAGTAGTTAGTAGGTCGTTGTTTTTCTAATAAACGCACGCCAGCACTTCTGATTTTCCCTGAATTTATATGGCTTGCGGACTAGCATTTCCTTGTTTGTTTAAGGAAGAAATCTAAAAAATGATAGAAAAGGATGAGTCCTGTGATAGTAGCTTTGTCAACCCTGAGGAGAACAGTACAACCAGTAGTTTGCAGAACATCTGGCTGCAAAGTAATCATTTGTTCAGAAGAATAATTGCCGTTATGTGTTTTTAGTTGCTTAATGGTGGTAGCATTACCTGTACTCTTTCTAGAAGCTTGTATATAAATTTCATTTTTAAAAAAACTTAGTGGAAATCTGTATTTTGCAGAATTGAAAAACCACTCGGAATTATATATAGCCTCTTGAAAAGCTAGTAATTTCCCCTTTCCCTTAGACTTAGTTATATCTCCAGTATTATGTTCCTCATTTATGACTAGAATTAAAGGCAGTTCACACTGATTCACGCTTTGATTCTGCTTGGAATATGATCTACAGCTGAGGTTGGTACTGAAGGATACAGGAGGCATCGGCACAACATACTTAAACTCAGAAAAAAGAGGAGCTGTTCCAAATTTCATGTTTTCTTTCTGAGTGCAAATGAGGGTTCCCATTTACACACAGCCTCTGTTCCTTTCAGCTATCATGGTATAAAGTTAAAAAGAAGAAAAGTATTGCCAAGTGTTTTCTTCCATGAATTCTGATAAAAAGCTGGTCTTAATTGCGTTTTGTTCTGCTTCCCTATACAGCTTGCGCTTTCCAGCGATAAGTTGTCCATGCTCCAGATGCCACTTTTAAACCTTGATCTGGATCTGTCTAACAGTGGTGACGTCAAGTTGGTCTCTGTTGAAATGAATAAAGAAGAGTTACAGACTCTAATAAGTTCACTGGAAGCGGCAAACAAGGTGCGTCGTCTTGCTTAAAACATGGAATGGCCAGATTGGTTCCTCTGGCGAATCTAGGGATGCTTGTAATTGCAAACTTTTTGCCTGCCTTTTTGCAGATACCATTGTACAGCTGGGCTGTGCAGGGCATTCAGGAGTGCTTTCCAAAGCACATTGCACACCGCACATTGCACAAGCACAGCATCCTTTCTTGAATCATGAAAACTGCTCCATCTTCCAGATGACCCAGAAGAGCTGCTTCAAAGATGGTGCCCAACCCTGTGAATGTGTCAGTGCACGCCCAGACATGTTGCCGGTGGCTCCTATTTCCACAGCCCTGTTGCCCAATGAGTACTGTATCTTTGCTGGGATAGACTTTGGATAAGATATAGTAGAAAATATAGTAGAAGATTTTTTTAAAAAATTGTTTTCTGTTTATAAGGAAGTCCAACCTGTGCTCTATATTCTGCCATAGTGTAGGGTACCAAAGACCAATGGAATTGGGTTTTCCTGATTCTAAAGAAGAGTATCTTGGCAGCATGAAAGGTCCAACCTACCAGCAGATACAGGATGCTTGTTTCACCTACAACTGGGTGACAATTCTAATTTTGATTGAAATTACTTTTCTGCTCATGTGGCTGTCCCATTTTTACTCTTATTTGATCTTTGGGGATGTTCAAGAGATACTTTTGTTTCATTAGGCAAATGAAAGTTTACCCTTTTTCTTATGGGAGAAGATTGTTAGCCAGTCCCATAACTGTATGGAAACTGTTGGGATTTTCATGGTCTGGCTTGGTTGAGAAGATATAAGGGCAGTAATGTGTACACAGTAAAGTTTAAAATATTATGGAATATTTGAATAAGCTGTTGTCATTTAATGGTTTCTACCTTTTTGATTCCTTGAAGGTTGTTTTACAGCTGAAATGATTCCAAGCAACCTCAGAGCCTCCCAGTGATGAAAAACAGGACATTTATTCTAAAATACAAAAGGAAATGTTTTTCTGAGAGACTAAGGTCAGCACATAAAAGAAGATGAGAATCACAAGCTTACCAAGAATCTTACTGCTAATCTGCTTCAGACCAACATTAATTAAGTACATTTAGGCTAAGTTGCAGAAATGTGCAGTGGAACAAAGCTTTCTTGGATTGTTACACTATGTCTGAAAAGTTTTGAAGAACTGAAATTCTGAAGAACTGAAGGTGCTGAAAATTCACTGGACATCATCTTACATTAGCAGAAGTTGTGTCAAATTATTTAGTGTGAAATTTCCTTTTCCAATTTGCTTGGGATTTATTTTAAAAAGTCACATATTAGGATTACCATGTGATTGTCATACTTAAAAGCAAAATACTTGTTTCTCAATTGCAATGTTTTCTAGTCCAAACTGAGCTCTTTCCTCAAATACAAAGGAGCATGCCCACTTAATTAAGTATATCAGATTGAAGGTGGCATTAGGAGCACTCCCATCCATGTCAAGTAGACTTTTGACATTAGAGTAATGTGGGAGAAATCAGTAAATATTTTTATAGCTGGGTTATCTGAAATGAATGGAACATAAGATATTGAGTATATGACAGAATTGATACAGTGTTGTATCTTAGCCCTATCTGATTAGACCATTCAGCCAACTCAAGATTTATTATTCTATTTCTGGGTAGATCAAATTTAGATGTGTTCTTTTGGTTATGAGATACTTTAAGTTTGAATTACAGAGTAGCAACAAAACAATTATTACAAAATCCAAGCCCACATAACAGCCCTTGCTATTATTAAATCCAAGCTTACATAATTCTACTTGTAGAAATGTAAATGTTCACATACTTTTCCCTCCTGAAAGCAAAATGCAGTATATGTTTGTATAAGTCTATAAATAAACTACTTAAATGAAGACTTTCAAACAATTTGTCTCTTGTTTTACATGGAGATGTTTTGTCTTTTTGCTAGGCTAGTGAAGAACAAATCCATCTGTTATCGTAATTACTAAAATCAGTTTGTCCAGGGCCTGACTTGACTAAGCATTTGAAGATGGTTGGAGGAGGTTCTGAAAAGCTGGGTGTTGGACAATAGCAATCACGGTTTCGCTTTCTAGGCCTGTCTTTGGTGATACTACGATTTCTCTAGCCTTTTATGGTAGCTAGATGCATGCTCTTTGTATTGAGAATTAACAATACAGTATATTCAAAATATAAGAGAGTTGAAATGGAGTTGCAGGAAAAACAAGAACTGGAACCACAAGTGGAATTAGAAAAAAGGAAGACCCTAAATAATTTTAAACTCTTTCTGTGAACAGTAATGATCTGGGCTAGTACTTTACTAAAGAATTTTTTTTTATAATAACTTTATTAAATTAAAAAAAAACCCAGGTAAAAACGAACAAGGACTAATAAGAATAGAAAAGAGAAAGAAAGAAAGCGAAATGCAGAAACAGAAAAGCAGAAATATAAATAAAAGAACGATTTTCGACTTCCTTTACAGCAGAAATAAGTGAAACATACATTAAACTCTTACTCCAAGATTTCAACTTAACATCCATTTTTTCTATAATCTATTAATTTTACTAGTTATCAAATCCATATATTATAATTTCATTTTTTTCTGTTTCCTGCAAAAAGTCCAAAAGGGGATTCCAAATAACATTAAAATTATCCAATGACTTTTCTCTAATCAAAGCTGTCAATTTTGCCATCTCAGCCAGCACAAACAACTTTACCATCCATTCTTCCATCGTAAGTAATATTGAGTCTTTCCACCTTCGAGCATATAAAAGCCTCACTGCAGTTATCATATATAAAAACGAAGGTCTGTCAGATTTTTCCAATTGTTTATCCATCAGCCCCAAAAGAAACGTCTGTGGTTTTGATTGTATATTCATCTTCAAAATTTTCTGAATTAATTTATGTATCTGAGTCCAAAATTTTTTAGCTTTATTACATATCCAACAAAGATGATAGTCCTTCCTTGTTCACATTTCCAATATATATCTGAAGTCCCTTTATACATTTTTAACAACCTTTCCAGTGACAGATACCATCAATACATCATTTTATGAAAAATATCTTTAAAATTATAACATAATGTAAATTTCAACCCTTTCTTCCACATATTTTCCCATAGTTCCATTTGTATCCAAAAGCTTTAGCCCATTTAATCATATAGTCTTTAACTCGTTCATCTGTTTCAAATCTCAACAAAGGTTTATACATTTTAACAATAAGATGTTCATTGTTAATACATAACTCAATTTCAGATACAGTTTTATCATGTTCAAAACCATATGTCTTTTTATCAACTTTAAATCTTTCTACTAATTGTACATGTGAAAACCATTGAGGCATACATCCTTCTGATGTCAAATCTTCTCTTGATTTCATTTTAAATTCACCCTGGTAGAAATCTAAAATGTCACCATAAGTTGACCATTTCTGCTTAATTACTTTCTTTAATTAATTAATTAATTAATTAATTAATTTCTCCTATGATATGCTTCTTGTGGTGATAGCCATAAAGATATTTTCGGACACAATCTAGATTTATATCTATTCCAAATTCTCAAAATGGCATGTCTAATAAATGATTTTTGAAGTCTACGTGAACCTTAGCTTTGTCGTACCATAAATAGCCATGCCATCCAAATCTCAAATCATGTCCTTCTAGTGCAATAGCTTTCTGTTTCTCAGTGTCATCCACTCTTTCATCCAGACTAAACAGCAAGCTGGAAAATACAATTTCAAATCAGGTAAAGCTAAACCTCCTTTTTCTTTGGCATCTTGCAACATCTTGTATTTAACTCATGATCTTTTGCCTTGCCAGACAAATTTAGATATTCCCTTCTGCGATTGTTTAAATGCTAAATCAATAGTCACAATCGGTATTGTCTGAAACAAAAATAACATCCTAGGCAAAACATTCATTTTTATCACAGAAATTCTCTCCAGCAATGACAGTTGTAGTTTCTCCCATCTTAACATGTCTTTTTAAACTTCATTCCATGTCTTAACATAATTAAGCAACATGCAATCCATATTTGTCAAATTATTACCCAAGTATTTTACCTTTTTCTCAAACTTGAAACCTGTTTTGTTCATCAATTCCATTTGATCTTGTGTCTTCATATTTTTTGTTATCATCTTTGTCTTTTGTTTATTAATCTTAAAACCAGCTAGTGCACCAAACTTTTTAAATTTGCTCATTCATAGTTCTATCCCTTTCAATAGCTCTTCCAACACCAGCACCAGATCATCTGCAAAAGCTCGCAATTTATATGTCTCTTTTTAAATTTTTACACTTGTTATCCCCTCATCTTGTCTTATGTCTCTGTTCAAAACTTCCAAAACCAAGATAAACAAAAGTGGGGATAATGGACATCCTTGTTTTGTTCTTGTTTGTATCTCACGCGTTTGTTAAATTTCCACTGACAATCATTTGTGCTTTCTGTAGTGTGTATATTGATTTAACTCATTTTATAAAGTTCTTGCCAAAATCCATATCTTCTAGAACTTTAAACAAAAATGGCCAATTAAGGTTGTCAAAAGCTTTCTCTGTGTCCAAAAAAAAAAAAAATGCAATTTGTTTTTCATTATGCTGTTCAAAATTTTCTAAAATGTCCAATACTGTTCTAACATTGTCTTTTAGTTGTCTTTTAAGTAAAAATCCACATTGGTCTTCATGAATAAAATCTTTTAAAACCCTTTTCAGTCTATTTGCCAAAATCATTGTAAATAATTTATAGCCACTATTCAGTAATGATATTGGTCTATAATTTTTAGTTAAAATCTTCCCCTTTTTCCATTGTTAACTTTCTTATACTCCTTTAATTATCCCGCTTTTTGCAAAGATTTCAAAAATTTCATTACTTTAAATTTCCTGATCTTCCCAAAATTTATAGTCCCCCCACCCCCGAAATGAGAAAAATACCAAGAGAAATACTTATCTGCTGTAAAAAGAAGTCTCTCTTAAACTGAAGAATAGATATAATCCAAAAGTGGTTAGAAATGGTGGTCAGTCGGTTCCAGCGTCCTTTTACAGGCTGCACCTCAGCCACGAATGGAGATGTAATCCTCGCCTCCCAGATGCTCCACTTGTGAACCTCTCGCAAAACGCTCCGCTGTTGCGATTTACTCATGAGGAATGGCCATCCGGAGATCAAATAGGATGATTTCAAGCTTCCTCCTTTGTGCGGAGGAAGTTAAAGCGCTAAACAGCTGAGATGCTGTCCCCATGATCTCAAAGATGCTCAAACCACCATGCCCACCACCAGAAGCCCATAAAGAAAATGGTTTTTATGGGTGCAGAGCCATATAAACAGACCTTTTTCTATGAAACTGTGATGGAATGGAAT